CTTTGCTTTCTATTTTTTTTCAGCAAGAGGTGGAGATGGAGAGAACAATAGATGCTTAACAATTTTATCTTTAAAAATTATAAGGTGCCAGATTAGCACTGTGAGTAATTTATCACTAGGATTTCACTTTAAGGGGATTGGTGGAATGGAGGTGAAGAGGGAAGACTAGTACCTCCTGATTCCTACAGAATCACTCTTTAACCTCTGAAGTCAAACATGTGTGCTGGGATAGTTCCTTTAATCCTTTTCATTATGAGCTTTCTCTAGTACAAACTTATAGTATTGGTTTTCAGTTGTTATCAATTGTTTCAATTGGTTATCAGTTGTGATAAAGAAAAAATCTTGAAAAAGTAGACCATGTATTGCTACTTCCATAAATAACTTCCCTGTAGATCTGGTCTCCCTAGAATAGCTAAAGAATTGTGTGATTGATAGTAGTTTCATCATCTAAATCTGTGCTGTCAAACAAAAAGAAACAGATCCCTGGGGCCTTGTTGACTTAGAAAACTACATATTAAAATGATCTATGTCATATTATGTATTTTATTAAACATTTCCCATCACCTTTTAATCTGATTCTGTCCAGCATAGGAGTAGTATAGGCCACATACTGTCCCCATGTTTGACGTATCTGGTCTAGAATGCCATTATTAGTATAAGCTGATACCAAAACCTCTTAATGTCTCATCAGATTGATATATCCACTGCCAGATTTAACATATGACAGATGAAAACCAAAGTGCAATTCACTGGACAAATAAGTCTATCAAGCTGAAGGCCAAAAGTTTCTCCCAAGTTATTTAGAAGATCAAGCGCATAGATTGGTCCAAAGTTCCAGGGGCCAGCAATTTTCATCTACTAGAGGAGGGGGCGTACATGTACTGACGATATGGTGGCCGACAAATTTGTTACTGGCACAAACACAGGATTAGTGCTAGGGGAGTCTTACATTTCTTCATATTGCCCACAGTGCCAAGCATGTGCTTTGTATTTTGTGGGTGGTTGGTAAATGTTGGTCAGATAAAGAAACAAATGAATGAGCATGGAGGATTCTGGTGGGTGCCTTGTTTGGAGCCCTCACAGAAGAATCTGAGGCCTGCCAAGGAGTGCACTGTCATTACTGAGAGGGAAGAGTGTAACCCGAAAAACGGATTCTCCTGTTGTGAAACTGCATGTAACCTGAGAGACTGCAGCTGACAGTGGAGATGGCTTCAGCCCCTTGGCCTCCTTGTTCTAATCTTAGAATGCTATGATCCTGGCTTCCTGTGGCCTGAAGGACAAATGTCACCAACCTAGCCCTGTACCCACATGTGCACACACACTCACACACATACATGCACACACACAGGCACATACACACACAAACACACAATCTCATATTCAGATGCACAGACACCAAATGTGTTTACGTTTATTAAATCAGTCATATTGCAGAGGCAAACCATAAGGTCCTAGATCAAGAACTGGAAGGGAAATTAGATATCATCTGGTTAAAATTCCTCATTTTACAAAAGAGGAAAAGGAGGCCCAGATTTGTGATTTATTTTGTCCAAGGTCTCCCAAAGAAAGCTCATGACATCACTTGTTACCACAATCTCCCCAAAGGGCAGGATGTGTGGCAACTAGGGATTGGCATCCTTAAACTCACCCTGCCCATGCATGCAGAAGGCTAGGTTTATTATTCAATTCATGGGGGAAGGATGGGGAGGGAGGAAGCAGGTAAGGAGAGCAGAGAAAGGGGGAAAAACATTTTTTGAAATTACCTTGAGGGTCATTGATTTACTCCATTGGCTCAGGTGACTGAAAGATAAATAATCCAAACCCCCACATTTACTCTATATTTCCATCATCAGTAAGTCAATAATTCACATTATATAGCACTTTTAGACTTGCAAAGTGATTTACTTATAATACTCTTATGAAGTAGATAGTACAGATGAGAAAAATAAAGAATCAAATAGGTTAAGTGATTTGCCCGTGATTGAACAGCTGCTAAATATTAGAGCCAGGATCAAGACAACCTCACAGAATCACTGGATTTAAAGAAGTTTTAGAGATATTTTTGCTTAACACTTTCATGTTATAGTTGGAGAAACAGAGTGTCTCATCTGAAGTCATACAGCTAATAACTGGCAGACTTCTTGTTCGGTCATTTCAGTTGCCATATGGGGTTTTTTTTTTAGCAGAGATACTGGAGTGGTTTGCCATTTTTTTCTCCAGCGCATTTTATAGATGAGGAAACTGAGGCAAACAGAGTTAAGTGACTTGCCCAGGGTCACACTGCTACTAAGGGTCTGAGGCCACATTTGAACTCTGGTCTTCCTGACTCCAGGCCCAGTGCTCTATCCACTGCACCATTCAAACCCAGGCCTTTTCACTCTAAATTCAGCATTTTTTTTTTCTCATCCTACCAGGCCTTCACCCTCCTAACCTCTCCCAAAAAACTTTTTACTTTTTCAAACCTGAGCAGCTCACAAGTCTCAAAACTTGAACTTGATCTTCTCTCTTCACTTCCACACCCTCTGATGGAGGTCATTAGGTAGCTACAGAAATGGTCAAAAAACAGACCAGAGGAAGGAAAAGAAAGAGGGGAAATAAGGAGAAAAGGTGAAGGCTGAAGAGCCCGTGAAATGGATGATCGGCTCCTCGGTAATCACCTATTAGCTTTGCCTCTTCATCTAAAACACATCTGTAATAATAATAAGGAGCGTTTCTATGGTGCCTACTATGTGCCAGGCACTGTACAAAGTGCTTTACAAATATTAACTCTTTTGATCCTCACAACACCCCTCAAACAATGGTTAAAAGACTTGCCTAGGGTCACACAGCTCCTAAGTGTCCAAGACTAGATTTGAGCTCAGGTCTTTCTGACGGCAAGCCCAGTGCCTTGTCCATTGGGCCACCTAGCTGCTTCAAACTTCCTCTAAAGATTTGAATCAAGATTCACTCTTCTGCAGGGTTTTAGGGCCCATTTCCTCTTTGATTCTTAAAATGCATTTCATGAGGGTGTTGCCAGGTAGCTCTTGGGTATAGTTATTGAAGGAAATGAAAAAAAAAAAAAGGATCCTATAGTGAAACCACAGGAGACAAGGGGCACACTTCACTGAATCTTATTGTTTATTTCTCAGAGTAGCTCACATTCTTCTTTCCCCCTTATTAGTGAAGCTGCTAGACAACCATCCTTTGCTGGCTCGCCACCCCAGTCTCAGGCTGATATCTGCCCCCAGCAACAAGAAGAAGCATTTATAAGCACCTACCATGTGCCAGGCACCGTGCTAAGCACTGGGGATACAAAGAAAGGCAAAAACACAGTCTCTGCCCTCAGGGAGCTCACAGTCTAATGGGGGAGATAGTATGTAAATAACTGTGAACATACAAGTTAAATACAGAGTAGATACAAGGAAATCTCAGAGGGGAGGCATTAGAATGGAGCAAAGCTGAGAAGGACGAGGAAAGATCCCTGACAGAAGATAGAACATGAACTAAGTCCTGGAGGAAGCCGAGAGGTGGAAGAGAGAAGGGAGGGCATTTCAAACATGGAGGGGAGGACAGCCAGTGAAACATTTCTGAATAATGGTGGAAGGAATATTTCTTTTGAAATACAATAGAGATAGCTGCAGAACTAAGAAGGCTTTCTGCCCGCGATAGCAGGACTAGCATGGAGTATAATATGGCCTGGCCTTTGTAGACTGCACCTGGGTTGCTTGTCATGGCTCCACACATCTGTAAGCCCAGCTACCAGGGAGACTGAAACTGTTGGGTCTCGAGGTTGGGAATTCTGAGCTACAGTGTGCTATGCTAATTGGATGTTCACATTGAGTCAAAACTTCTGTGCTCATCAGTAGTGGCATCAAGTCCCTGAGTAATCTCTGTATTTCAGCCTCGGTGAGATGGGAAATTTTGTTTTTGTTGTAGTTTACTCATTTTCAGTCATGTCTGACTCTTTGTGACCTCATTTGGGGTTTTCTTGGCAAAGATACTGGAGTGGTTTGTCCTTTCTTTCTCCTGCTCATTTTCTAGGTAAGGAAACTGAGGCAAACAGGGTGAAATGACTTGCCCAAGGTCACACAGCTATAGTAAGTGTCCGACTGAGGCCAGATTTGAACTCATGAAGATGAGTCTTCCCAATTGCAAGCCAGTCTTCTATTCACTGTGCCACTTAGATGCTCTGAGAAATGGGGAAACACAGTCTTTAAACACACACACACACACACACACACACACACACACAGACACACATCTGTCTCCAGGGAACCTGAAAGCTTTTTGAACCTCCACGAGGAAAAGGGTATAATAGCTCATAACTTCTATAAAGATAAAATGATTTATTTACCACAACCCTCTGAAATAGGTAGGATTATTATCCACATTTTACAGATAATAACAATAGCTTGTGATTATATAGCCCTTTCAGGTTTATGAACTACATTGGAAACCGAGGCTCAAAAAAAGGTGAAAACACTTACCCAGTGTCACATAGCTAACAGAATCAGGGAGCAAACCCAGGTGTCCTGACTCAGATACCAGCACATTTTCTACTGTGCTGCAGAGATGAAACGACTTACCCCAGGCAGTGAGACACTTAAGTTTGCATGTGGTTTTTGACTGTTTCTCCAATGATCTGTTCATGAAACTAGGATTTCTCACATTTTTGATCCACTAAAATTATTGTCAAAGCAGAAGACTCCACAGACCTCTTGTCTTGCTTATACATATGGGAGATAGTAGGAGGAGGAGTAGTGGAAGCAGTAGTAGTGGGAGTAGTGGTGGTGGTGTTTTGTTCAGCCATTCTAATCATGTCTAATTCTCCATGACCCCATTTGGGGTTTTCTTGGCAGAGATACTGGAGCGGTTTGCGATTTCCTTCTCTTGCTCATTTCACAGATGAAGGGACCCTGGCCAACAGGAGTAGTGACTTGCCCAGGGTCATACAGCTAGTAAGTGTCGGAGGCCAGATTTGAACTCAGGAAGAGGAGTCTTCCTGACTCCAGGCCCAACATTCCATCCACTGCAGCCACCTAGCTGCCCTTATTGTTGTGGTCACTTATTCCCAATTTTCACTAGGGAAAAGAGAAAAAAAACTACCTTGGAGCAGCAGCTGTTGACCTTGTTGATTCCAGATTACCTGATATTCTTTCTTCCCACTGGAAAAGTAAAGAAACAGGTTGGGTGTGAGCAGGGGCAGGGTTTAGATTTTAGTTAGAGGTGAGAAGAGACTGTAAGACCAGTGACTGCTGTGTTCTTAAGTTTAGGTAGATTAGGAATATAGATCAGTGTTATGAAGTAGTCCAATGGGAAAAGTATTGTATTTGGAGTCAGAGGTGCTGGGGTCAAATACCACACTTTCCATTTCACTTTGGACCAGTCATAACCTCTCTGGGCCTCAGTTTCCTCATCTGTAAAATGAAGGGGCTGGATGAGATGATCACTAACATCCCTTCCAACTCCCAAATCTATGATCCTGTGAAGTTTTTTCTTATATTCTTACTTCTGTAGTGGGCGCCATCATTCTAGTCCCCTAAGTTTTCTGTGTTGTTATCCTGGACTCCCCATGCTCTCTCATCCTATACATTCAACAAGTTGTCATATCTTACCATTTCTACTTCCACAACAGCTCTCACATGGCCATCCCTCTTCCCCACTCACCCAGTAAGTTCAGGCCTTTACCATTCTTTTCTTTTATTTTATTTTATTTATTTCTTTTTTGGCTAGGCAATGGGGTTAAGTGACTTGCCCAGGGTCACACACCTAGTAAGTGTTATGTGTCTGAGGGCAGATTTGAACTCAGGTCCTCCTGAATCCAGGGCCCGTGCTCTATCCACTGCACCACCTAGCTGCCCTAGGCCTTTATCATTCTTATCCATTCATCATGGACTATTACCATGACCTCCTGATTGGTCCCCATGCGTCAAGTGTGTCCTCATTCACTCCATCCTCCACAGAGCTGCCAGAGTGATTTTTCTTTAACCCAAATTGACCTTTTTACACCCCACCCCCAGCCCTTCACAGGATAAGCTCCAATGGCTTCTTATAATTTCTAGACTAAAATATTAACTCTTCTTTTTGGCTTTTAAAGTTCTTCACAACATTATTTTCTCCTGTGTCTCTTCTGCCCTTTAGGAGGAAGGGACAATTGCCCATATCTGTGGCAACAATGCCCCTTCTATTCTCTGTAGTTTCTCCATGATCTCCAACAGCTCAGCAATCACATTCACAAGTTATTTTTAGTGCCATGAGATGACATTTGGCTGGGCCTGGTGATTTGAACACATTCAGGGAACTGAGGCTAGGCTATCCAGGAACCTCTCCTAGACACTAGAATTTACTCCCTAATATTTTGGATTAGCCTGTGGACCTTTGGAGGATCTTTGAATTCCCACTAGGCATCATGGGCCATACTTTAAGAATACTCACCAAATGAGATATGTGTCTTTCTGCTCAGAGAGTCACATCTTGAAGAACCACAAAGGGAAGGAGACAATGCTGCCGGATAAACTGGACAAGTTGTAGGCAGTGCTCTCAGGAAAGAAGTCTGCAGAAGGTCATGTTTTCCAAGGGTCTCTTTTGTCTGAGCTGGAGTCTTTACTGAGTTTTCCTTAGGTTTAAGGAAAGAGGGCAGAAGAGGGCAAAGATTAGCCATTTTCAGATCCCAAAAGGTGGCAAATGAGAGTTGACGTGGAGATTTGGGAATTTTTCTAACTCTTTGTGAACTATTTTCCAGTGTTCCCATGAGCCCTGTCTGTTTCCTGCCTTTCTCTCTGAATTCTTTCCTCCTTCCTTCCTCCTCACTTTCTCCACTCCACTTGCCCAGCAATGCTAAAGGACAAAGTGTTTGTTACTACCCATGAATAGAAAAAGGTATTAGATTGATAATATGACCCCTGCACTAAAGTTTGAGGGAGAATCTTGTGAAGGGAAAGCCTTTTGGTTGTAAGCAATCTCCTATACAAGAATAAGAGGAAAAACACAGCCTGCTACAAGAGGGATTTTTCAGATTCCTCATCTACAAAATGAGGGAATTAGATGATGTCTAAGGTAACTTCTGGTTCTAAATCTATAACCTTATGACCCTATTAATTTAGATTAGCTATGGAAGAACTTTCCACCAGTGGTAATAGAATTTTAGAGCCAGAAGGATTTATACATAGATGACCTGGAATGCTGATTTAAGCGATGTTTCTTCTAAAAGCATCTGGGGAGTCCAGATGAGGTTCTCACTGAGCCACTGAGGTTCTCTTCTGATCCCATTACTCTAAGTTATCAGACTGGGGAAGCCAAAAGGGAGCAAACCCTAGTGCTGTCAGGATCTGGTCTCTATGAATGGTGATAGGGGTCGGAATGGGCCTTTTCTCTGTCCTAGGGCACTCATCCATCATCTCTTAGGCTCTGAGTATCATTTATGAGTACTCCTTCTCCAAGTCTCTACCCTCAGCTACAGCCTGAGAGACCTCCTCATGCACCACTGTGGCCTGGAGACTGTACCAGAAGCCCAGGCCTAGGGCCAAGACGAAGGGTGGGGAAGAAGGCGTCAGAGCCAGGGCAGTATGGTAAGAATCAGACTTCAGTTCAAGGACAAAGATGCTAGTATTTGGAAAGACCATGACATCTAACTTTTACTGAAGCTCTATGGCAGGAATTTCTGGCAGGTTCTGTTCAGTCTGGACACAAGGGCTCCATGGTTTTCAGAAGAAAGCACTACAAAAAGCAAGAGTACGTTTTAGAGGTTATTTTCTTCAGGCTTCTACAATTGCAGGCTGAGACGAGAGGGAGGCAAGGGGAGGTTTCAAGCTCGTTGTCATGACTGAGATGGCGGGAGTAGCAATAGGGTGAGCTAGACAAGGAAAGCCAAGGCTTTAAACCGAGGGAAACCTATAGGGTCACAAAGACATAAAAATAGGAACATGGCTAGGGAAGGACAAAGAAACATGAGTCTGCAAAGCAAATCTGAGACCAGAAAATCTGTCCAAGGAGAAAGGAGAGGCAGGATGTGAACAACCCTTGACCCCCATGACCCATGAATCAAAATTCAGATAGAGTCCAAGATCTGGGATATCAATACAGACAGAAATGGGAAAAGTGATTGGTTAAAGTCCAAGCAGGCAATCAGCAAAAGTTTGAATGGGGAGCCAGTAGGTATTAAGAATATCTAGCAATACCCATGAGACCCAGCTACTGGGATAATGGGATCAAGGGTGGGATACTTAGCCACTAAGAGTTATACTTAGAATCATAGACCTGGAATTGAAAGACACCTGAAGGGTCAACTAGCCAGGCCCTCATTTCCTTTTACAGACAAGGAAATTGATGGCCAAAGGCTATGTGGCTCGACCAATATTACATAGGTAAAATGTGGCAAGGCCAGAGTTTGAACTAGAGTCTTTGATTATAAAGCCAATGTTCTTTCCATTGTACTATGTTGGTGTCATATCATGATCAAGAAATGTAGACTGTGGGGGCAGCTAGGTGGCGCAGTGGATAGAGCACCAGCCCTGGAGTCAGGAGGACCTGAGTTCAAATCCAGCCTCAGACACATAACACTTACTAGCTGTGTGACCCTGGGTAGTCACTTAAGCCCATCGCCTAGATCAAAAGAAAAAGAAGTGTAGACTGTAGGGATAAGAGATACCAAGGTCCAGAGCAAGATGAGCATTAGAGATGATTCAGTTCTTTTTTTAAATTTACTTATTTTTAGTTTTCAACAAACACTTCCATAAGCTTTTGATTTTTAAATTTTTCTCCCCCTCCCTCCCTTTTTCCCTCCCTAAGATGGTGTTCAATCTGATATGGGCTCTACAGATACATTCCTATTAAACGTATTTTTACATCAGTCATGTTGTAAAGAAGAATTAGAACCAATAGGAGGAATCACAAGAAAGAAGATACAAAACAAAACAGAAGAAAAAAAAAGAGTAAATAGTATGCTTCCATCTGCATTCAAACTCCATAGTTCTTTCTCTGCATGTGGATAGCATTTTCCATCGTAAGACTTTTGGAGATGTCTTAGACCCTTGCATTCCTGAGAAGAGCTAAGTCTATCAAAGTTAGTCATCGCACAACATGGCTGTTACTGTGTACAACATTCTCTTCACTCAGCATCAGTCCACACATCAGAATTTTTCTGAGTTCTGCTTGCTCATTATTTATTATAGCACAATAGCATTCCATTACATACCACAACTTATTCAGCTGTTTCCCAATTGATGGGCAGCTCTTCAATTTCCAATTCTTTGTCACTCCATAAAGAACTGCTATAAATATTTTTGTACATGTGGGTCCTTTTCCCATTTTTATGATTTCTTTGGGATACAGATCTAGAAGTGCTATTGCTGGGTCAAAGAGTATGCACATTTTTATAGTCCTTTGGGCATAGTTCCAAATTGCTCTTCAAAATGGTTGGATCAATTCATAACTCCATCAACAATGCATTAATGTTCCAATTTTCCCACATCTTCTCCAACATTTAGATGATTTAATTCTGGCCCAGGGAGGGAAAAAAGAAGGAAGGAAGGAAAAAAGGGAGGAAGGAAGGAAAAAAGAGAGGAAGGAAGGGTGGGCAGGAGGGAGGTAGGGAGGGAGGGAGTAAGCACTTATGTGCTAGGAACTGTGCTAAGTGCTAGGGATACCAATACAAGCAAAAAAAAACACAGTCTTGGCCTTCAAGGAGCTTACATTCTAATGAAAGAAGACACATACAAAGGGGAGCAAAAAAGCCAGGGGGTGGAGGGGAGGTCTCTGGTTTAGGGGCATGACTCTGAAGTCCCAAAGCCAAGAACAAGGCCAGGAGGGGAATGAAGGTTGGCCTGGGCCCTTGCACAAAATGGAGGCTCAGGAGGAAATCACCAATGGGAGAACAGGGCAAGTCTTACAGAGGGATATTCCAGGTTGAGAAGGTCACATGGATAGTTGGATATATCAGGATGAGGAGGCTCCAGGCTCTGAGGCAAGTCCTAGGATGAGACAGCATGGTTTTGAAGTCTAGAAGCCAGGAACAGGAAGCTTTTTGAGAACTCATTTGCTCTCCCTTGACTAAGATGAGCATATAGCATGTGGCTAAGTCTACACATCACAGTTAATTATCTATGCCTGCCAGGGTATGAAGACTGCAGAGGCAGGGAGCCAGGACACCATTATATTAGCTGGGACATTAGTCTAAGGTAGTATGAAGGACCGTACATCTTCCCCATGTCACCATTTCAAAAGAGGTGAAAAAGAAGCAATGTTTGTAGATAAGTTAGCAGGGGACTAGTAATCAAGAATTCTGAGATTCACCCCCTACTCTGCCTTAGCTATGTGGTTTTTGGCAAATCACTTGTCCTCTCTTTGCCTTAACATACCCAGCAGGAAAATGGCAATAATTATAGCTGACCACAATATAGGATAGTATGACAGGAATGAATTTGTTATGGTTGAGCAGTAAAAATTGTTGTGGAGACTCTGGCCAGTGCTAAAGAAGAATCACTCACTGAGTTCTAAGAAAGCAAACGTGACAAGGGCACAGAAAAACAGTTACAGGCATAATTGTCTCCGTTCTCCACTATGATGTGGAAAGAATGATAGACTTGGACTCAAAAGACATAAGTTTGGCAAAGTCCCAACCTCTCTGGGCCTCATTTTCCTAATAGTAACGTGTAATGATATGTGATATAGTAGATAGAGGACTGGGCCTGGAATCAGGAAGATCGGGGTTCAAATATGGCCTCAGACACTTATTAGCTATGTGACCTTGGGCAAGTCACTTAACTTCTATTTGCCTCATTTCCTTATCTATAAAATAGAGACTCACCGATGAAGGAAATGGCAAACCACTACAGTATCTTTGCCAAGAAAACCTGAAGGACAATGTCCATGGGGTCACCTAGAGTTGGGCATGACTGAACTACAACAATGATTCTACTAGATTATTTCAAAGGCCCCTTCTAGCTGTAGTATGTTGTTCTATAAGTCATCCCCTCAAAGTTTTACTTTTGATATCAAACAACTTGATTGAGACAAGAGAGGCAGTGGAGGTCTTCCTTGTGTAGTAATGGGTGCAACAGGCAAAGTAGAAAACTTAGGCTCATTGTCGGGGGGAGACATCCCAACAACTTCTTGACGATGAGGTCTGCACAAAAATGGAGTGGGCTGCTTCAATAGGGTCTTCAAGAAAAGTCAGGATGACCATTTGTATCAGTGAGAGAAAATTGTTTTTGGAGTATGGGTTGGATTAGGTGGCTGCCGCAGGCCCCTCAGCTAGCTGGTGCACTGGATAGAGTGCCGGATGTGGAGTTGGAAGGACCTGAGTTCAAATCTAGCCTCAGACACTTTCTAGCTGTGTGACCTTTCGCAAGTCACCTAACCCTGTTTACCTCAGTTTCCTCATCTGCAAAATGAGTTGAAGAAGGAATTAGCAAACCACTCCAGGATCTTTACCAAGAAAACCCCAAATGGGGTCACGAAGAGTGGGACATAACTAATTGACTAAACAACAACGAGGTCTTCTCTAGAGCTGAAATTCCGAGAGTCTGTGATTCCTTTCTCTGCCACTTAGTAATTTATCCTGTAAGTTATTGAGCTCACTTAACTTCTCTGAGATTCTTACCACATCTGTGAAATGAAGAGTTGTACTGGGTGTTCACTAACATCCTTTCCAACTCTTCAGGTCGATGCTTCTCTGATGTCTGGAGAGCTCTTCCTCTAATCTGCCATCCTCCACGTCCTGTCTTTGTAGCTCCAGTCCCGTCCACAGGCCCCGTGGGTTCTCTCTCTCCTTCCCAGCTAGCCACCTGCCAACGTCAGCTTCAAACAAGGGGAAGTTGGGGAGGAGCTTTGGATTCTCTTACAGGATATATTTTTAGCTGAATGAGCCTCTTCAGGCAGCTAATGATTGGCACCTTTGAGGCAGAGTTAAATGCATTGCCAGCACTATGTGAGTAATAATAGTAATAGGCTAGCAGATCTAGTAGATAGGCTAGGAGTCGGGAGAGATGGGCAGACTGCTCTGTCCAGTGCCCTAGCCACGGAGAAGCTCAACTAAGTAAACCCTGTCTCCATCAATTCCCCTTGTTCTGAGAGGACAGGATATTAATCTCTGGATTTCCTAACTTGGTGTGTGAGGATATTTAAACAGGTGTTCTGCTCAGCCCCAGAGGCAGCTGCACTAATAGGGGTTGGAAATATCCTTGACTTGACTACCTGGGCAAGACGATCTCTAAAAATGATCTCTTCCAGCTCTATGAATATTAGACAACTTCCTACTTCGTCATGTAGTGGGAAGGGTGCTGGAGTTGGAGCGTCTGGTTGAAATTCCTGCTCTTCTGCCTACTAGTTATGTCTACTTAAAAGTCATTTCATCTCTCTGAGTCTCAATAATCATATCTGTAAAATGGGACTAGTACCACCTGCACTTCCTACTTTACTGGATTGTTATGAGGTACGAGAACGGTTAGTTTATGGTGCTGTTATGAAGGATGGTTTTTGTTTTTTATTTTTGAGTTTTGATACAAATCCCAGAATTGCAGAATTTCAGAGCAGAAAGGGCCATGGCCATCAAATCCAACTTGAATGTGACAAAAGAAATCCCATTTCAGCACATTTGGCAAGTGGTCATCTAGTTTTTGATTAAAACATCCGATGAGGAAGAACCTATTGCCTACCTTGGTGAGAGAGGGCATAGGTGAGGCATCTTGTAGGCCAGGTAAGAAAATCCATTAATGGAGCAACATTTAAAGGAGTGATAGGGAAGAGGAATAGGAGAGATTGATGGATCATCCTCCTACCTATGAAGGGGCAGAGTAGCAGAGCTAAGGAAGTTGTTTCCTTCATTTGACATCCCATAGTATCTGTTGTTTGAATTATACATTTTGGTATTTAATCAAGTTGGGGCAGGATAGAGCTGGGCCTCAAGTCAGGAAGACCCATCTTCCTAAGTTCAAATCTGGCCTCAGACACTTACTAGCTGTGTGACCCTGGGCAAGTCACTTAACCCTGTTTGCCTCAGTTTCCTCATCTGTAAAATGGGCTGGAGAAGGAAATGGTAAGCTACTTTAAGGGATCAGAAGAATTAGACATGCCTGAACAACAATACTTAATCATGCATTGCTTTCACGCTCCTCTAACATATATATCTCATCTCCTCAATGAGATCTTGAGCTCCTAGAAGGACGGACCACGGCTTTCGCCTGCATCTCCTGTCACTATGGTGCGGTACTAATTATGCAGGTGATGTTAAGTAAATAAGAAATTAATTAAGTTGAATTTGTGACTAGAAGAGAATAAACAACTGATGGATATTACTAAGGCATCTCTTTCTCAGTCAAGAACAGTATTCTATTAGATTGGGGATGATGAACTCTACTGTTTACAAGAAACGCTTACAGATGTATCATTTAAAATGTCAACCAAGTCCTAGGAGATGACTCAGTGCATGAAATTTTTAATTGCAGATTGGAAGGGTTGTCATTAGGCCATTAATTAACATTCTAGTTTGAACCAGTTATTTCCCCAGTTCCAAACTCACTTAACTGTATTATCATTGAGTCCATGCCTTTCCATCTTGTTCACAAGGAAATTGTGCCTTTGTAATTTCTCTCACGTGCAAGGCTCATCACCATCCTCATCATAGCAGCCATCTTAGGAGTGGCCATTTTACAGACATGGAGGCAGCCTGGTACAATGGAATGAGTCCTAGATTTGGAATCAGAGAATCTGGGTTCAAATTCTGGCTCTGATACATACTACTTGTGTCATCTTGTATAATAATAATAATAATTATAATAGCTTGATAGTCATATATATCACTCTAAGGTTTGCAAAGCACTTTAAAAATACTATCTCAATTTATTCTCACAACAGCCCTGGATGGCAGGTGCAATTATTATCACCCATCTTACAGATGAAAAAACCAAGGCGACAGAGGTTAAGTAACTTGCCCAGGGTCATACATCTAGAAAGTGTCTGAGGCTAGATTTGAATTCACATCTTCCCAGTTCAAAGTCCACTGCATCACTTAGGACTAGAAAGAAAAGATAAGGTTAGTTCAATAAAACTTGTTCTTCATGAACTCTTTGATGCTGGCTTATTATATTGATCACCATTCACAGGTCATCTTGTCCAGCCCCTTCATTTTCCAGATGAGGAACCTGAGACCTAGAAAGGTTAAGCAATTTGCTAATGGTCACAAAGGGAGTTAATGGTAGGATGGCACAGTTCTAGGGCCAAACATCTGAAAATAGCCTCTTTGATGATTGAAGAATAAGATCATAACTTCCTCAGTAAACAGCCTAAGCCCATGTTGGTGAGAGAGAGAGAGACACACACACACACACGGGGGGGGGAGGGGAAGGGGGAAAGGTTCTATGTCAGATACACAGAGAAGAAAGGCCCTATGGAATAAATCAAAGGGAGGTTGGTAGTAAAAAGACCAAGTCCTGATTTTAGGAGCAATAGTCATAACACACCCTTATAGACTGCTTTAAGGTTTGCAAAGCACATAACATATATTACCTCATTTGATATTCACAAACAACCCAGTGAGGTAAGTACAATTACTGCCTCCATTATACAAATGAGGAAACTCAGGTTCTGAAAAAGTTAAATGCTTTATCTGGAGTCACAAAGCTAGTCAGTATCTGAGGCAGGATTTGATCCCAGGTCTTCCTGACTCCAAGTCAAGCTATCCACACAGTGGAGAGTGAATAGTAGTAGGGAACCACTACCTCTCAAAAACTAACTTGAGAATTACCCTAGTGGATTCTGTTTGCCATTCTCATTCTGTATATTTTTATCATGAGTGTCGTTGAAGACCATCTTTCTTTTTTTGAAGATTATATTTGTTTTATTTAAAATTTTTTATCTTCTTTCTGTTTACATTATTATATAGTCTTTTGTATGTTGTTTTCTTGGTTTTGCTTACTTCACTTTTCATCAGTTCATAGAAGTCTTCAGATGCTTCTCTGAATTCTTCATAATCATCATTTAAAATAGTATGGTAATGTTCCATTGTATTCATGTAGCACAATTTTTTGTTACCAAAAAAAGTGCTGCTTTGAATATTTGGTAAGCTCCTTGAGGGCAGAGACTATCTTTTGCTTTTTTTTGTATCCCTAGCACTTAGTACAATGCTTGTCACATAGTAGGCACTTAAATGTTTATTGATTATTTATTGATTGATGTTTAAGACTTTTCTCCCTGTCTTTTGAGTAAATGCCTAGCACTGGGATCTCTGTGCTAAAAAATAAAATATGATCATTTTGGTCCCCACCCCCTTTATTAACATAATTCCTAAATCCTTTCCAGAAATATTGGACCAAGTTTAGTGACCATTTTTGAGCATCTGGCCTATTCGTTTATATTGTCATGTACATATTGTAGTTAATAGTAAATAATTCACATTTATTTCTCCTATTGCAATTGATTTTAGCTTCAAACCCATTTTGGTGCATTTCTATTTTAAAAATAGAATTCAGGGTAAATCTGTGGGTCGGTACACCTGCTGTCACATAGAGTACCTCCAAAACATTTTGCAAGATGCTAACAAAATTCATGATTAATCTCCTCCCAACTAAACGGTAAGGGTCCTGAGGGCAAAGACTATGCTTTACGCTTCATTGGTATCTCCCCCAGGGGTGGGCACATAGTAAGCCTGTGGTGCATACTTGATTAAGTTTTCGTTTCTATTTAATTTTGTAGGACAGGCCGGCAGACACTAATGCCGGTGTTGACAACTCAGCATCCCCATCTGTGGCTCAACTCGCAGGCCGATTCAGAGAGCAGGCAGCGGCCGTCTCAGCTAAGGAGGTAAGTGAAGAGTAATCAACTCATAATTCAGAAATACGGCATCTTCGGTGGGAGAAGGAAGAGTCAGGGCCAGTGTGGTCTAGGTAGGAGAGGAGGTGAAGAGGAGACAAGGAAGTCACTGAAATGAGAAGAGAACCCAGGAAGGAATTTAGTCTGAATCCAAAGTCTGTGGGTGTGTCTGGTGTGTGATCTTGGCGACCCCTTTGGGGAAGAGACAGAAAACATCTCGCAGATTGTGAATCACATATGGCTACTGGGGCAATGGAAAATTGGATTCATTCTAAGGCAGGGTCATCTTTATCTTCATTCTCATGCTCAACATCAATTAATATTTACATAGTACTAACCTAAATCTCCCCCTTTTTCTCTCCAGAAGGGCCTTCTGTCTAGGAAATCTTGGGCTGGTAACTGTGCTATGTAGGCCAAAGAGGAAGTGTGAGGGAGACAGCTGCTGATGCACTGGGAATTTGGTGATCAGCAAAAGGCCAAAGAGAGGTTATTTTATAGGAAACTGCGAGTTAGTGAAGCTCTAGGAAGGAAATTATCTCAGACAGATAGATACAGGGAGAGACCAGTGGATTTGAATAGGAGATTCGGCCTTCTAGGGCTGAGCTTTTGAGATAAGATGCTCCAACCCTGGAACAATTTGTGTCTAATTTACACTAGGCCATGATACTCTTACAAAGATGAAAGCTATAGCAGGCTCACTGAATCCTATAGTCTAGGAGCTCATTGAAGGGATGGGGAACAGAAGCATGGAAGCTAAGAGACAGCAGGGTTGCCATGAGACATATCAGGTTGTCGTTGCTCTTGTATTCCCATGTGAAAAATGGGTTGATAATTTCTAGCCCTGGTGGAACTGTCATGAGGGTGATACAGAAGGCAGTGAAACAAGGAACCAGCCACCACTTAGAAAGAGGCCAGCTTCTGTATTATCTTGATCTGTTGTTAAAAGTGGATGAATCTCAACCGGAGGAAAAGGAGAAAATTCCATCAGAAGGAAAGTGACAGGAAAGAAGAGATTAAAAGTTGAAAATGGGCAAATGGTTAAATAGGACTTTATATAGAGATATAAATCCTGGGAACTCCCAGGAATGCCTGATCCTCTGCCTCTCTTCCATCAAGTAGAATCCTGCACTAGCTGAAGATATCCCTGGATACCCTGTGGGATGGGTTTCCCTTCCTTCCTCTTCCTCTTTGGTACTTAACTAGCTCTCTCTCTCTCCCTTTTTCTCTCTTGTGTGTCTGTCGGCCCCCTCTCCAGCCACCAGCCAATAAACCAACAAGAAGGAAACCACCTTGCTCCCTTTCCCTGTTCCCCCCCAAGATAGAGATGGGCCAGAATGGTGAGGAGGTAAGTAAAGCTGATGGTACTTAAAAGTCACTCCGGAAGTAGAAGGATGTTCTGCCCTGGTCTCTACTTCTGTGTAAAGCAGCACACAGGAGACTAGTGTGCATCCAGGGGCCATGGTCTTTACCCCAGAAACATCAACATAACCCAAATATAGTACAGTAGATAATTCATAAAAAGGAAATTTTTTTCCCCAGAATTTCTCCTGAGTCCCTTCCTTTCTCCTCCCACCCTTCTAAGCATCTTTTTTTTTAGGAGTTTTGAAGGTGATGGGCTAGGGGTGGGGAAGGTGGAGAACAGAGCCCTCTATCATAAACTATTCTGTTTAAATGCATTTTATAACATTGGGGCTATACAAGATGGAAACTGGCTGGCCTTAGCTAGGGTGCATTGCATTTAAGAGTTGAGAGCTGGTTTCATCTACATTTTCACATCTTGAGTAGCACTGGGGAAAACTTTCAGTCTTACACTGAAAAGAACAGTTAAAGAAAAGCACTATATTAATACATGGTAGTAATTGGTATCAGAGGTTATAATCATAATAATAGAAATGCAAAGGCCCTGCAAAGGCCTTTTTTTTTTTAAAGACTGGCCATGGTTTTGAATAGCTGGAAGAATGCCAACGATATAAATAACTGGCTACCAACATAATAAAAGCTCAGATATCATAGAGAGAGCCAATAATAGCCTTCACTGCTTATACACTCACCTGTTGTTATTTATCTAGTTGTAGTTAACAGGAATGATTCTGTCATATCCATGGAGACACAGGCAGCCCCTTAGATCTCCTCTGTGATGTTCCCACTAGGACCAAGCCCTAACTCTTCACCTGACCAGAAACGCCCCAAGCAAATAAAGTCAACACAGGAGTTCAATTCTATAGGATCATACCTCTGCCACCTAGCCTGAACCTTTGATTGGGATCAACCAACTTACACTGGACTACAGCTTGAAAGATTGGGGTTTGAATTCTGTCTCAGTCACTTGTTGTGTGACCTTGTTGTTCTGTTGTTTCAGTCATGTCTGATTCTTCATAACCCCATTGGGTTTTTCTTGGCAAAGATACTGGGGTGGTTTGCCATTTCCTTCTTCAGTTCATTTTACAGATGAGGAAACTGAGGCAAACAAGGTGAAGTGACTTGCTCAGGGTCACACGGCTAGTAAATGTCTGAGGACAGATTTGAACTTAGATTCTCCAGACTCCAGGCCTGGTGCTCTATCCGTTACTTCACCTAGCTGGGGGACCTTAGGCAAGTCATTAACTTCTCATGGCCCCAGGCAGTTCTTTGAGACTGAAAGTAGCAGAACAATTGTTCTGCATTGGTATTGTGAGTTTTCTCAGTGGGAGCTCTCTATAGCAATGATATTATAGGTATGAACCCCAAAAAATTATTCTGCAAAATTAACAGCATAGATAGGATGAAAAAGCCCAGGGAGAGCATATTTGCAATAAGATAAGATTGCACCATTTTAGTGACTTGCTCAGATGAATAAGCATTATTCATATAAATACAAGCAAAAGGAAAGACAGTCCCTGCCCACAAAGAGTTTATGTTCTAATGGGGAAAGATAGAAGGAATTGAAAAATCAAAAGGGGAGCAGGTAGAGAAAAGGTACTCTGGAGGAAAAAGTCTATAAAATAAAGAGTAGACCTTGGAGAGGAATGAAGACATGACTACCCTGAACACTTTCCTTAAAATGGAGGTATTGAGAGCAACCAGCCAATCAGAGGAAGGGACCAGAGAGGCAGTGCGAATTTCCAGGGTGAGAAACTATGATGGAGATAGTCTGGAGAGAAAGGAATGAAGCCTGGAGAAGGATGAAAGAAATAATTGTTATCGTCATTGTAATAATAATAATAATAGCTAACATTTATATAATGCTTACTATATGCTAGGCACTGTGCTAAGCACTTTACAATTATTATTTTATTTGATCCTTACAACAACCTTGGTGAGGAGATGCTATTATTATCACCATTTGACAGAAAAGAAAACTGAGTTAAACAGAGGTTAAATGATTTGCTCAGTAAGTGTCTGAGGTTGGATTTGAACTCAGATATTCCTGACTCCAGGTCCTCTATCCTCTGTGCCACCTAGCTGCCCCTAGTTTGGTTATTGGTCCCCGTTCCCAGCTATTACTAATGGAATAGCCAAGGGCTCAGTGAGGCAGGGATGGAACTCTTGGATAGAAAGGCAAGTAACTTGCTAAGGAAAGGAGTCATTTCCAACAGAAGGAGGCATAATGTAGGTTCCTCTGGCTAGTATCTTTAAGGTCTTTGAAGTACACAGAAAAATAAGCCAGACAAGCAGTTTTAGACAGGCAGTCTGGCGTAGGGAACCAGCAAAGGGATTTGAACCACCCAGAGCACTCCTATTCCACTCATTGCCTCTAATAACAGGTACTGATACCAGAGCACCATGAAAGAGGGGATAGCAGAAGTGTGGGGATGAGTAGGGTTGGGCCAAGCCCTAACTTTGGAGTCAAAAGATCCAGGTTCATAACCTACCTCGGATACTTCCTGCCAGTGTGACTTTGGTCAGGTTACTTAAACTCCCCGGGCCTCAGTTTCCTTATCTGTGAAAACAAAAGGGTTAGACCAGGTGATCTTTGAGGTTCTTTTGTATATAAATATTAGCTCTTAGGAACTAAATACTTGAAGGCAGAGATCCTATGATGTCATGAGCAGTCTGACAGGCCTTAGCAGAAATTCATCATCCCCATGCGGCTGGCTAGCCAATCAGTACAGAGAAAAAACTTGTGTTCTGGTCCTGGTTCTGACACCAGTTCTCTGGGTGACTTAGGGCAAGTTGGTTCTCCTCTCTTGGCGGTGAATTCCTCATCTGTCAAATGACAGGACTGAGCTGAAGGCCTCTAAGGCCCAGTGTCTTCTAAGAGGGCAGGAGGTGGAAGAATTTCATAGTATTGCCCTTGAGGTAACTCTGTATTCCAGACAAATTGCCTGCTTTCTGTTCTCCAGACTTGAAGTGCCATCTCCGACCTCCAAGCCTTTGAATAGGCTGCCTTCCTGTTTCGGGAAGTGCATTCTCTCCTCACCTTGGCCTCTTAGAATGCTTGGCTTCCTTCAAGGTTCATTGCCTTCAAGGCTGCCCTTAAGGCTCCTTTTAACCAGCTATCACCTACAACCTCCTAAAACGAAGCCTTTCCTGATTGCCCCAGCTGTTAGTGCCCTGATCCCACTGAAATTAATTTGCATGTGTTTGCACGTTTGCATATCTGTGTGCATGAAGTATTTCCTTATTAGAATGTAAGCTCCTTGAGGTCAGGGACTATGTAATTTTTTTTGTTGTTGTTTTTGTGTCTTCCATAATTAGTGCAGTGGCTTCTGTGTGGCAGGTACTTTAATAAATATAGGTGGAAGGATGGAAGGAAGAAAAGAAGAAAAAAGGAAGGAAAGAAGGAAGAAAGGAGAAAGGGAAGGGAGGAAGGTGGATAGGAAGGAAAAAAGAAGGAAGGAGGCAGGAAGGGAGAAAAGGAAGAAAGGGAAGAGGGAAGGAAGAAAGGAAGGGAGGGAGAGAGAGAGGGAGGGAGGAAGAAGGGAGGAGAGGAAGGAAGGAGAAAAGGAAGGAAGGAGGGAAGAAGAGAGGAAAAGAAGGAAGAAGGAAAGGAAAGAAAGGAAGAAGGAAGGAAGGAAAGAAGGAAGGAGGGAAGGAGGGAGGAAAGAAAGGAGAGAAGAGAGGGAGGAAGTCAGTGATGTTGACTTGGTTGCTACTATTCCTTGGTGAGCCACACTGAGCAGCCAAGCATTTACAAGCCTTCCCAGGTTTCACCTTTCCCGAGGATTAGCACAAAATGCTCTTATCAAGCTATTTTCCTCCTTGTTCTCTGTTCACCACTAGCAATGTCTTATAGTGTGTGCCACATGTTGAAAAACTTGTGAATGAAAATGCTGCCATCTACTGCCAGCTTCTGGGCACCATTGTTCCTGCTTATCTTCAGTTTTAGTTCCTTTTCAATTTAATTCCATTCAACAGGTTTTTTGTTTTGTTTTGTTTTGTTTTGTTTTGTCTGTGTGTCTGTGTGTCTGTGTGTTTTCTTAGTTATTCCCTTACTCAGCAATGTTTATTGCATGGCCATTGGGTATCAAGGACCAAAAGGGGAAATAGAACAAGGGGCATGCCATCTTTGGTTGCTTCTGTCCACTTATTCCATGGGTAGGCCTTCAGTGCCTTCTAAATAAGTGCTGAAAACCAACCATCTCCAAGGAGATGGACAGCAAAGCACAGTATTGAAAGAAGGAAAATCAGCGTTCTTTTTGCATTTTTTTTGGTATCCCCAGCACTTAGCACAATGCTTGGCATGTAGTAAGTGCTTACTAAGTGTTTGTTAACTTGACTAGGTAACCTAACCATTAGTGTTCAACAGAGAGACTACAAAGCCTAGTAGAAAGAGCTCCCTCTGGATTTGGAGCCAAGAGATGTGGTTTTCTAACACAGTTTGATACTTTCTAGACCCTGGCCTAGACCTGGGATTTCATTAGCGTCACAGCTCAACCTCAATTCCCTCTTTTGTAAATGGGAACCACACACACACACACACACACACACACACACACACACACACACACAATGTTTTAGAGTGTGGAATTGTCTAGAGGATGTCATTGCCTGGCTTCACCAAAGTGTTATAAATACATCTTCCCAAAATGTAATTTGTTAAGGGTGGGGTTCAGTAATGTGTCCACAGAGACTCTTTCCCTTGCCCTTTTTAGTTACAGTCTAGTTAACCCACCTTTTTTGAAAAAGAAGGGCTAAGACTCAGATTTTCCTTTTCCTCCAGGCAGAAGTGTCTCCTCTGTTGGGAGGTCCTTCTTTAATTTTCAGAGCCAGCTGGTCTCACTAGAGATGAGGGGACTGAACTCGTGTCTGCTTGAGGCCGGTAGCCTTCTGAAACAAAGCAATGGAAACAACAGCACTTTTCTCTTCTTATTTCCCCTCTGGCTTTTGGGTTCCATCCAGAAGCAATTCTCCCTGTCCTCATTCTTACAGTGCTCTTTTGGTCTATTTGATTTATAGAAACCATCACCCAATGCAGGCCACCCTCCCAAAATCAAGGTGAAAAACTCTCCTTTGATTGAGAAGCTACAGGTAAGTGAAGTTTGCATTTCCTACTCTATTACCATCACCCAGAGGTTGCTTTTTATTCTTATACGACCACCAAAGCTGTAACTAGCAATTTTTGTGACAGGGCAAGCACCACAATTCAGTTTTATTGAGTGGGGTGGATCCTGAAAGGAGGCTATGAAAGAAGTCCGCACCGTGAGGGGAGAGAGGGTCAGTATCAGTGTGGACCAGGCCAATGAAAAACTGGCAGTGAGGTGCAGCGTCACAGTGCAGTGAGGGTGAGGAGGTGCAAAGAAGAAAGCTTTTCTGGACATCTTAAAGCACTATGTAACATTGGCTATTATAATGCAGTGAGTATTCTAAATGAAATAAATCAAGTGTACAAACACTACAACAATTATATGGTATGATGTTAAAGGGAAGCAGAGTAGTGTAATGGATAGGGAAGTTGGAAAGATTTAGATCCCTCTGTGCTATACGGGCTGTGTGACCTTGGGCAAGTCCCTTAACCACCTAGCACCCTAAGCAAGTGTCTGAAACGATGATTTGCGGAGTAGTTGCTGGTCTGTAGAGAAAATCTGAAGAGTTCTCTGTATTAGTAAAATCATAGTCCTGGTCAAAAAAGAAAGGTTAAAGGATGTTCAGAAAGATTTACCGCATGGGAGAATAAAATTAGTCCAACGAACTTCTCTGCCACATGGTAGAGGAGCTGATGTTTAAAAAAACCAATAAAAACGACCTGAAATACTCATAACAAATAATCCCCCCTAACCCAACACCCCAAGACTATAGGCTTAGGACTAGGGTTGACTTTGGAGTAACAGTGCCCTTCCCCCACTCCCACATCATTTCTTTTTCACACAGCCTTCAGATTCCAGTTGCTCTTGTATTATATTTTTTTCCTTTTAATTATTTCTTTTTACCTTCAAGATTGCTTTTAATCAGTTATCACCTGTATAAAGGTTTCACTAAAGGTGACATAATGTGTGGTTTGCCTGTCCAGGGATGGCTCTGAGAGTTGCCATGCCCATAACTCTAATAATAATAAACTAGCATTTATAAAGTGCTTTAAGGTTTGCAAAGCCCTTTATATAGGTTATTTCACCTGATCCTCACAACAACCCTGGAAGGAGGTGCTATTATTATCCCCATTTTATAGATGAGAAAACTGAGGCTAAGGAAAGTTAAGTGCCCTATTTCATGCAGCTAGTAAGTGTCTAAGGCAGGATTTGAATTCAAGTCTTCCTGACTCAAAGTGGATTATGCTACAATCCGCTCTGCCACTTCCCTGCCCCTTTAGACCGGGGAAAGATAAAGCAATTGGCACTAAGGAGAGGAAGAGGATGACTATCTCTAAAGTTATGAAGACCCCTCATACCCTAGTGGTAGGTAGATGCCAATCCCTGATTTAAGTCACTGACATAATTTAGTGTTTGTTAGGAAACAATATGTGCTGGGTCCATGCTGCTGCCTCCTGGCACCTTGATGGGGTAGGACCCTCGTAGGCCACGGCCAATGTGCAGGGACATGAGTCAGAGGAGCAAAAAATCACAGCAAATAGAGCATGTGAGAACCAACGGGCATTTAATTCCTTGTTGGTAATATGAGAAGCAGACATAGTACTTGTGTGTAACCACTTCTGCTGGGTGATTTGCAGATTGAGAGGGATTCTCTTCCCACTCTAAAATGAAATTCCTCATTTTCTTTCCACAGGCCAATTTAGCCTTTGATCCCGCTGCCCTATTGCCAGGCGCTTCACCTAAAAGTCCTGGATTAAAGGCCGTTGTATCTCCATTTCATAGCCCACCTTCCACCCCCAGCAGTCCAGGTGTGAAATCCCGGTCCACTGAACCAGAAGAAGTGCCAGTCAGCTTTGACCAACCCCCTGAAGGCAGCCATCTACCTAGTTACAATAAGGTATGTCTTGAGTCCAAAACAGAGCTTTGTAATCTGGGGGAAAGTAGCCATTTGGCCATCAGCTGGGGGATGGCTAAACAAATTATGGCAAAACATGAATATAAAGAATATTATTGTGCTTAGAAGAAATGATGACCATGAAGAATCTAGAAAAGGATTGGTGGATTTATACAAATTGATGCAAAGTGAAACAAGCACATTTCAGGAAAACAATATATACCATGACTACGGATGATTACAAGAATGCAAATGAAAAGAATGCACAAATGAAACTAGTGCTGGGCAATTACAGTGATGAAGTTGGATGCTGGAGGAGAACTGAGAAAAAAAAGGTCCCTCCCTTCCTTGAACAATGTGTATGGACTATTGTATACAGTCAAGCAGGGTTGATGTGTTGATTGGTTTTGCTGAATTGCTTTTTTTTTCTTTTTTGTTACAAGGGATGACTCACTAGGAAGGGAAGAGGGGAGGGATTTATTTGGAAAGGAAGACGATGTAAAAACAAAAGATATTAATGAAAACTAAGATTTTTAAAGAAGGAGAAGTGAACATTTGGTTTAGCTTGGATTTGGACAGAAAGTCTGCAAGTTCTATTATTATCCAGAGAAAATTTGAACTTAGAAAAAAACAAAAACCACTTGGAGGTGCATGAGAAACCAGTGTCATGACTAGCCTTGGACTGAAGTGAGAATATATTCCATCCTACCTTCTTACCTCATCCTTCTTCCTCCTTATTTCCTGGTTTGGTTGTCCTTCGTTCTTGAAGAGGACCAAAATGGCATCACTATGTTAAAGTCAAGTTACGATGCATCCAACTGTAGCTGATCAGACTAATATGAGTTCGGAATGCTCATGTGAACATTTGGGGTGAATTCTTTACATATGCACATCTCGCATTTCTTTTGAGCCACTTCAATTCTGCTTTGCTCATACAGCACAGCACCTTCTCTGATGAGGGCACTCCCATGCTGAGTGGTCCTGTGCCAGCGTCTCCCATGTCACACAATCAATTCCAAAGTTCTTTTTTATGTTACTTTTTTTTAAAAAAAAATTTAAATTAATTTATTTTGATTTATCAACAATCACTTCCATAAACTTTTGAGTTTTAAATTTTTCTCCCCCTTCCTTCCCACCTCCCTCCCCAAGACAATCTGATATAGGCTACACATATACATTCCTATTCAATTCCAAAGTTCTTAAGAGAGACCTTGACAGTGCCCTTATATTGCTTCTGACCACAATTGTGAGTGCTTACCTTGTGTGAATCCTCCATAAAATAGTCTTTTAGGCAAGTGTACCTTTGGCATTCGAACATGGCCAGGCCATCGGAACTCTCTGTAGTAGGGTTTGAATTTTTACTTCCTACTTCCTCCTAAAGATCCCCTTATACATTCCTTTGACTGCCAGAGAATGCAGGTGCACAGACCTCTCCCCTCCCCACCTTCCCTACCCCTTCCCCCAAAAAAAGGAGAGGAGCGGAGTTAAAACTGCCTCCAGCTTTGTAGATAAAGTGACATCCAAAGCCGAAGATGACAGCTAACATTCCGATGAATCTGTGCACACAGAATAGCTTCCCACACTACAGTGGACAGGGTCATTTATGCAAGGACAACTGTTTGATGAATCTTTCTGGTCTTCATTAAACAGATAAATTCCACTTACCATTCACTGATCTTGACAGCAGGAGTGTTCTATATTCTGCCTCAAGAAAACTCAACTGGGTGACATCTTACCACATAAAATAGATAAAAACATAAAATGGAAAGTAATCATTTCCTTTGCAAAAGGCTTTGCTACAGAATTTCTTGAAATAGAATGATAGCTTTAGAGATACAAGGGACCTTAAAAGTTATCTAGTTCACCCCTTCCTCAAATTTTTACACTTGAGGAACCTGAGTCCAGAGAAGTTAAAGTCATTTGTCTATAAGCTCACACAGGCTGCGCAGGATCAAGTAATGATTGAACTCAGGCCCTTTGATTCTACATTCATCCTTCTTTATACTGCACCATGAATTATGAGCTTCTATTTTGGGGAGGGAGGGGAATACTGAGGCAATCAGGGTTAAGTGACTTACCCAGGGTCACACAGCTAGTAAATGTCTGAGGCTGGATTTGAACTCAGGTCCTCCTGACTCCAGGGCTGGTGGTCTATCCACTGTACCACCCAGCTGCCCTATGAACTTCTATTTTTAGGTAGTTGTTTACAGAGATTATAATTGTGTGGTATGGTGTGGTATGGTGGTAGAGTCCTGGGATCACTCAAGAGACCTGAGTTCAATTTTCCATTCTGACACTTGTTAACAGTGTACTTGGGTTTCTGGGCCTCCATTTCCTCATCTGCACAATGAGGAAGTTGGAGCAGATAGCCTCTGAGTGGACTTCCAGCTCTAAATATATGATTCTACATCAAGGATCCTTGAAGCAAATCAGATCCCATACCACCTCAGGGTTCTTAAAAAGCAAGCACTTTTGAAATGTCAAAGCCCAATACAAATGTGACCCATTGTAGTTTCATAAAGTACTAACCAGCAAGGACAGCAAAGAAATTAGACTATTAAGAGGTACTGGCCAATTGAAGATAAATTCACAATTTTAAACAATTTCCTTTATTTTCTCTTTATTGTGATTTCTTTTTTTAAAGCTTAATCTATTTTATTTTTTTCAACTTGCATTTATTCATTTTAATATGTAATATAATATATAATTTATTTTTAATATACAGTATTTTATTTTTCCCCAATTACAATTTTTAACACATTAAAAAACATTTTGAGTTCCAAATTCTATCTTTCCCTTCCCTTCCCCTCCTTAAGCTGTTAAGCAATCAGATCTAGGTTATACATGTACTGTCATGTAAAACATTTCCATAATAATCATTTTGTACAAGAAGATTCCAATAAAAAGAAAAAAGAATGAAAGTGAAAAATAGCATGCTTCAGTCTGTATTCGGACAATATCAGTTCTTTCTCTGGAGGTGGATGATATGCTTCATTATTAGTCCTTTGGAATTGTCTTGGATCATTGTATTTCTGAGAATAACTAAGTCATTCACAATTCTTCATTGTACAATATTGCTGTTACTGTGTCCAAGGTTCTCCTAGTTCTACTTACTTCACTTTGCATCAGTTCATGTAAGTCTTGAAGATGAATTCACAATAAAAAAAAAAAACTGGTATCTCTGATAGCTGAGCATATGTCAAAGGGAAAATACAGTTAAAGGTAGAAATTTTTTGTTCATGTACAACTTGCTTAGAAACATACTGGCTGTTTAAAGTAGGGATTTTTTGGTGGAGGTAGTGGTGGTGGTAGTAATGATTTCATCCCTCCACCAGGACAAATATATTGGCAATTGTTCTGCAATTTTGTCTTAGACAGTTGCCTTTGACCCTGAGAAGTCTCTCAAGTATGTCCACATAGCTAGTAAGATGTGAACCCAGGTCATTCTGGTTCTAAGTCTGGTGCACCCTTCACTATGACAATCTGTCTCTAACATCTACCATCTGTCTAAATTTAGACTCACATTTCACATAGCCTTGACAAGATCTAACAGACACATGTGAAGCCTTCATTAGGCCAGTTGCATTATTTTCAGAGGGGACAATAGCTTTGGTAGCTTTAGTAGCTTTGGTCCACTCTGCTTTGAACTCCCATAAGCAATGGGTTTTTCAGACCTTGCTAATGCTGGCCTGTCCTTCTTTTCATGGAAGGAAATGCCCCCCTTTTACTTCCATTGAAGACTGAACTGGAGGAAGAAGGTGGATCAAGGCAAGAGATGGATGGTTATCAATATCCAAGCTGTTTTGACTGGCCAGGATACCATCAGATGTCATAACACTTTTCTCTGTTGGTTTCATCTTGCAGGTGCGGACACGAGGGTCAATAAAGAGGAGACCTCCTTCCAGGAGATTCAGACGGTCTCAGTCAGATTGTGGGGTGGATCTGGGAGATTTGGGGGCAGCTGAATCATCTCAGGAGAATGGTGCCAAGGAAGAGGACAGCAATGAGGTGTTCACTCCCAAGAACAAAGCCTTGGGGTCTCCCCTTTCTAGTGACAGGGCAATGGGCAAGGAGCTGAGGAGAAAGCTGGAATCTGATGAAAAGCCTCTGCTAAGGAGATCATGCAGTATGACCGAGAACCCAGGGGAAAGGAGCAAGGCCTTGGAAGAAACCACATCATGGAGGAATGCTGTGAAAAATAAAGAGGGGAAAGAGCAGAATACAGTGGAAGATGATGAAGGAGAATCACACCAGAGCGTCACAGATAATAAAAAGGAAACGAGTGAGAGCCCAAAGGCAGATGTAAAGGAGGCATCTCCGGGGGCTTCTGGAGGGGATAAGGAAAAGACAACTGAAGGTACTATTTCAGAGAAGGAGGAAACATCTGAGAAAAGCACAGGAGATAAAGAGGGCAAACCTGGACAGAAGAACACAGGGGCTAAAGATGGGGAACCGAAACAGAGTACTGCCACAGGGACAAATGAGGAGAGACCTCAAAACACCCCCCAAGAGAAGGAAGGAGACAATGCCACTGAGCCAGAAAAAGCCAAAGAAGAGAATGAGCAAAAAGCAGGTATTCCTGAGAACACAGACAACCAAGAAATAACACACGAGCAAGAAAGCAATGCTGGAATGGGGCATTCTCAGCTGGCAACAGATTCTGAGACCACCAATGAAGCCCCAACTGTGCAATCCACCTGCAGTGCGGAGGTAAATTGGTAGTGTTGCTAGTAATCACATGACTTCTTTATTGCATGCCTATTTCTTTATAAATTTGTAACTGGCCTCATTGTGTAACCTCTCTAACCTTGTGCCTTGCTAGAGTGGGGAATGGGTCATTCTCCAATGGATCACAAGGACAAGATAAGATGGTTCTTTTGCATTTGTTCCCTTATCTATGGTTCTGGAATTTTTAGCCACACAAAAGTGATCCCGCCTGGGTGCCTGAAAAGTAACTGGTCCTCAGAAATTCCCTGCTCTTGACACCTACTCGCTAGGTCTGCATTGTAAGAATGGAGCAGAGCCATCACAAGGTGGTTCTGCCCTGGGCTCACGCTCTTCTTTCTTCTAGCCACCCAGATACACCTAGCTGCCACCAAATACATATGAATTTGCAATTTGGGAAGCATTAGGAAAGAGTAAGAAGAATCTACAACCTAGGGCTGATAGGCAGTAGCAGGACTTCTATGAGATTCCAGGCACAAGTGAAGAAAATGTTAGATGGAGCTGAGGTGGAGTGGGCAGTGACGAACACTTTCTAGGGCTTCTCAAATCGCACCTGCTCCAACTGCCTTGAAGTCCAACCACAGCACATGGGAAAAATGAGAAGAAAAGCCATTTGGTGCAAGTTCTTTGCTCTCCCCGTGGCTACAAAGTAAAGGTGGCTATCTGAAACTTTAGTAAGGGATGAGATGGTCCTGCTGTCCTGCCCCAATCAGGTCATAACTAGAGCACTATGTCCAGTTCCAGGCACTGTACTTTAGGTGGGGCAAAACAAATAGGAGAGTATCCAGAAGAGGGAAACCAAGATGAAGGGACCACAGTCCATGCCGTCCCAGTATTGCTTGAAGAAAACAGCCTGGAAATGAGAAAACATAGAGAAAATACACCCTCTGTCTTCAGGTATTTGAAGATCTGCCACGTAGAAAAATCCACCAGCTAGGTAACACAGTGAATAGAGTGTTGGGCATGGAATCAGGAAGACCCATTTTCACGAGTTCAAAGCCAGCCTCAGACACTAGCTGTGTGACACTAGGCAAGTCCTTAACCTTGTTTGCCTCAGTTTCCTTATCTGTAAAATGAACCGGAGAAGGAAGTGGCACCACACCACTATCTTTGCCAAGTAAACCCCAAATGGGGTCATGAAGAATCAGACACAACTGAACAACAACATGTAGAAAAGAGATCAAAATTTTTCTACTTGGCCCCGGTGGGTAGAACTAGTATCTACAGGTAGAAGTTATAAGTAGTCAGATTGTTGGCATAAAATTAAGGGAAACTTTCTAGCTATTAAAGCTTTCGAAACACTCTGCCTTGGGGAGTTGGGTAAGGGGGCGGGTTTTAAGTTCCCATTATTGGTGCTCTTCAAGCAGAGGTTAGGGGTATTATGGATCAGATTGATGAATCAGATTTGGACCGTCCTACATGACCTCTGAGATCCCTTCCAACTCCGACGTTCTATAAAATATGCCATGCTGAAATCATTGTTCACTCTTTAGTTAACTAAAGTTAACTGGATTTCTTGGATTTCTTAAGCACTCTTGATGATCAATTTGCAGTACAAGAGATTAGCTCCGAGATTTCTACAGCACCTTTATGAGGCAAATATTTGAACAGTTGGGAGATGAGGGATATACAAGGGCAGCTGTGGATAGTAGATAGAAAACTGACCTTGGAATCCGGAAAACTCAGCTTCAGACCTGGGTCTGAATCATCCTGACTATGTGACCTTGGACAAGTCATAACTTATCAGTTCCCTAAGTCTATAAATTTCAGATTCTAAGTCTATAAATTGTAGAACGGGTGCAAATCTTTATCAGAAGAAGGAGTTTCTTCACCTGGAGATCTCTATGAGGATGAAATCACAGATCAGTCCAAGACTTACAGTTATGAAAAATTCAATAAGAATTCCAGGTAGTGTATGAGGCTCAAAGTGGAGAGTGAGACTATGAGTGATATAGGAGGCCAGATCAGTCATAGTAGACTAAGGTGATCAAGAAAACTTTCATGTGGGGCTTGACCTAGGCCTTGAAGAATGGTTCTTATTTGTTTTGGATTTGCATAGGCTTTATTCTTTTCTCCTCCCTCACTTCTTCAACAAGTGTCCAAGCAGATCCAGCCTAGAGGCTCAGGGAGCAGACAGTGATTGACTAAACACTTCAATAAATACCTCCATGGTTGAGTGAATGCAACAGTATGGACTTTGAGGTAGATGAGAGACACCAGTCTGCACTGTGGTAGTGTATCTCCCAAGGCAGCTGCACGCTCGGACAGAGGCAGAGCCGACAATCCTGAGATTCTTACTGGACTCTTCAAAGATCCCCTGGATGGCCACATATCTGTGTGATGCAAAGAGAGAGGAATATGGAATCAGGAAACCTGGGTTCAAATCCCAGTTATGTTGTTTATTAGCTGTGTGACTTTGTGAAAGTCATTGGACTTCTCTGGACCCCAGGTTTCTCATGGCAGAACTTAGCAGTCCCTTCCAACTCAAAATCTCTGATCCAGAGGCACTAATGCAAACAGCACAAACCTAGGCAAAATAATGAGGCTGGTTGAGATGCTCTTTGTCCATCTCGGTTACCCTCAAGCAACTTCTGGTTGACCTGAGATCCTTCCCCTGCCCCCAAGACAGCTCATGTAGGATCACCTAGGGGGCACAAGGGGTAGAGGACTGGGCCTGGAATCAGGAAGACCTAAGTTCATTCTAGCCTCGGATACTTACTAGCTGCTTGACCCTGGGCAAATCACTTAACCCTATCTGCCTCAGTTTTTTCATTGTAAAATGGGGATAATAACAGTACCTACTTCCATTTGAATTAGGCTTAAAAGGTTGAATAAAAATACATATGGGAAAAGAAAGAAAGAAAGGGCATTTCAATGACCAAAGATAAGGAGCTGTGAGAATGCCACCTGCGATCAGGATGCAAAGAATAGTCCAATATGGTCAAAATACAGTATACATACAGGAGAGTGACATGAGCTCCAACTCAACTCAGTCCAACAATCGTTAAGTGTTGAAGGAATATCTTAACCTAGTTTCTTAGCGAGTCCAGGGAGGTTCTTCCTGAGCAGCGGGTCCAAAGACTGGTGCTCAAATAAAGTGAGTAGCCAACCAGAAGGGAAAAGAAATATATTAGCATGGAAAGGAAGATGGCTCTCGAGGGACAGCTTCCAACTCCAGGGCCCCAGTCTTGGCTCATACTGCTTTTTAGGTCTGCTTTAAGTAAACAGCCAAATATAGTCTGTCATAGAAGGAAAGATAAGTCCCTAGGTTCCTGCAATGGAAGGTTCAGTAGTTTCTTGTGTTGCCTGCTTACTTGGTTAGCGCTTACATCCTGGTTCTTGCAGATGGTTAGCCAGAAAGTACCCCAACCCCCACCACCAAAGAACAAAGTTGCCATTTCAGCTTCACAATATGTTTCCGAAAGAACGTCTTTTCTTCTTCCCTGGAAGCACCTTGCTCTATGTTCAAAGCATAATGCCAGGTACTAGACATTCAAAGACAAAGATAAGGACTCTCTGTCTTACATTATACTGTTGTGATAGATATTTATGTAAATATAAATTAATTTCAAGAGGCAAAAAGTATTAACAACTGGAAGGGACCTACGTATGACTTAAAGGAAGTTAGGGATTCTAAGAGGCAGGACTCTAAGAGACAGAATCACAGATTCTTAAAGAATCACAGAAATATTGAAATATAGCATATGTAGGACCTGTTGGGCCTTGCAACAGACTTTCAGTCATTCATGGACAAGCCTGACTAAATTTGCAGAAATTCATCACCAGTAAATAAAGTGATGCATTTTTTTGGTCATAGCTTTGGTTAAAGAAGAAGGAGACAGTACTCACAATGATGAGACCAGGAATCATCGAGTGTAGTTAAATGAATTTGTGCCTTATCACCCTACTAGAGTAGCGCAAAAATTGAAATAATACAAAAAAGCAAGATGGTGCCAGACTGCGGAGAGAGCCACAAATAGAAAGCAAGGGAACTTAAACTTTATATTCTAGGAGAATCATACAAGTATTGGCAAGATTTCCCCAGTCCCTTTTTCCTAATTCATTTCTTTTCTCATCTCTCCCCAGGATGGTACCGTAGCACAGGAGGCTAAAATGTAAAAAAAAAAAAAAAAAAAAAAAAAGAGCTCTATTGTCCACCCTTGATGAAGTTGCTGGAGTCACCTCTCTGGAAGGAGCAGCAAAAGCACCTGCAGGGAATGGAGAAGCTCCATTAGGAGCTCATGAGATATCAGGAATGCCAAAGATACGGAATCAGCCTGGAGTCAGAAGGGATCACTGTTGCCTCATAGCTTCTAAGCTGTAATGTTCTTTAGGGGAGGGGGAAGAGAGGATCCCAGTGTAAAAGGCTTTTCACCAACAGAAATTTGGTTCAGGAAGTTCATTGACAAACTTTATAGAAGAAACCTATTTAAAACCTCTCATCATTAACCTGGAGTCAACCCAGGGTTGGGCTTTCAGGGGACTGCCTACCCAAGCAACTGAGCTCTGGACACTTTTTTCTTAAGTCATTTCTTGATGTAGTCCATCAAATGTGCCTACGTCTGAGTTGTAACCTTTGTAATTCTCTGAAATTCTTACAGTTTTTATATATAAGTAAAAACTAATTTGGGGATGGGAGGGGATGGAATACAGGAAAAAAGGAGGTTTAAGTGTGAATAATAATCTGAATCCTTCTAAATCATAAAAGACATAGTCTTTCTTAAAAAAAAAAAATCAGGACTTTTGAGACAAACTTTTATCTCACTCAGTTTTGAGATGGCCAAAGCAGTTTTTCAAGGACTAAACTAGATGAGCTAAGTGTTGAAACATTTTTTTCAATCTGTACCATATTTAATCCATGAGCCTGAACTTGCTTTCCCTTTTGGAAATGGTCTTCCTAGCTTATGACTGCAATGGCCGCCTAGGTACATCCCCTTTCTGCCATGTTATGAGAAAGTAGGCTCTCCAATGGAAAAGAAGGTTGTCCTCAGCACCAGATGGGAAATCAGAATATGTGGACCTCACTCCTCACTTCTCTCCCTCTTCCCTCCCCTCCCTCCCCCTAACTCAGTGTGGCCAAGTCAAACCCTTTGTTCCTCGATTTCCTCTATAAAAACAAAACCTGCCCTCTACTGGCATGACATGTTCAGGTGAGGATAAATGTTACTGCTCCAGAAAATAATTCTTAATGAAAAGATCTGTTAGGCTATATTAAATATTGCCAAGTAGATGCTTTGTGGTCTTCAATACACATGTACTAGGTGAAGGTAATCATTCTTAATAGCTTTTTGGAAATGTCATCAAGGCCACTATTTCAAATTGAGCTTCTTGAAGTAGTGAGTGAGGCATGCTCTGTCATGGAGAAGTGTCTTTCCCCAGAACCTACTTCTACAGGGTATATCTTTGCATTAACAAGAGGTTTGTATGAGGCAGAGAGACTGACCTCTTACCTCAAATGCTCTCCATTATCTGCCAGGGCTAAAGGACATTGGCCAGAAGAAATCTGCACTTTGCAGGGCTGCTCCTGGGACTGACTTGAGTTTTGGGGCCTCCCAAAGTGCTAATTCAGTGGGATCTTGGCTCTGCGGGGTTCACACTGGAAATCTTTGGATATTGGAAAATGACCTTCCAGCCTGAAGGGTCTGGGGTTGCTCCCTGAACCTTGATTTTCTCTTCCTAGTCACTCTTCTCTCTGATTCCTGGAAAGAGTTAGCACGAGGCTAACATTATTTTTAAAAATAACCTTGTCATTAAAAAAGCAATGGGTCAGCTATGACATGTTCTGACCCAGTCTGTTTTAGAGTGTGCATAACTGTATTACCGCATATACACACATGTGTTTAAGAGTTCGGACACATGTGCATATGTATGAATGTGTGTGATGAAAGGGAAAGATTTATCCCATTCCTTTACCCAGAATGAAATGGAAGGAAAAGAGAAGAAATAAAAAATATACAGATAAAAAGAAAACTGTGCTTTCCTTCTGAGAATTGTAAATTAAGATGGGGAATGGGGAATGAAGATAATAAAGTAACGGGAACCTGAAACCAAAGAAGCTAGCTTGATGTCAGAGACATTGAGATTGTATTTCTCCTTATTCCCCAATTGTATCTTTCCCACTGTGCCTCCATTGATTCACGCTAACAACTGAGGCAGATACATTTTATTCCTTCACTCAATGAGTATTTATTGATGAACGCTTATGTGCAGGTTATTGCATCTTCATGATTCTACTAAACTATAGAGGCAGCATTCTTCAGTGGAAGTAGCCCCAACTCTAAAGTCCAAGGATCTGAGTTCAAATCCTACTTCAAATATTTACTATTTGTGACCTTGGGTAAGTTTCCTCAACTGGAAACGAGGGTTGGACTCTGTAGCCTTTGAGTTCCCTTGAAGCTCTAAATCTATGATCTCTGCAATCGTATGAAGGAGTGGTATAGTATGTTGAGGAAAGTGCTGAACTTTCATTTGGGAAAGAACTGGGTTCATATCCTGTCTCCAACACTTCCTCTGTGACTACGAGCAAGTCACTTGTCCTCTCTGAGCCTCTGTTTCCCCATCTGTAAAATAGGCATAATAACTTTAGTGCTTATTTCATAGGGTTGTTATGAGGATCAAATGAAACCAGTTAGGTCAACACGTTGCAAACCAGGGGGGGCTGCTATGTGGTGCCATAGCGCATAGAGTACCTGGCCTGAAGTCAGGAAGATGATCTTCATGAGTTCAAATCTAGCTTCAGACACTTACTAGCTGTGTGACCCTGGGCAAGTCACTTAGCCCTGTTTGCCTCAGTTTCCAAATCTATAAAATGTGCTGGAGAAGGAAATGGCAAACCACTCCAGTATCTCTGCCAAGAAGACCCCAAATGGGGTCACAAATGACTGAAAAACTGAAACTGTACATAAGGATCCCAGCGGGCCACACATTAACTCAGAAAACCACATATGTTTTATTGTATTTTTATTTATTTTGTTAAATACTTGCCATTTACATTTTAATCTGGTTCAGGCAGTACTCTGGAGTGTTATGGGCAGCATGGAGCCAGCTGGCTGAGTGATTAACACCTGTGAATGTGGTGGATAGGGTACTGGCCCTGGATTCAGGAAGACCTGTGTTCAGATCTTGCTTCAGATACTTATTGATTTGTATGACTCTGGAAAGTTACTTAACTCCTTTGTGGAGCAGTTTCCTCATCTGTAAAAGAAAGGGGTTGGATTCCAGGGGATTCTGGCTTTAAATCTATGATCTTATGATCTTTGTTGCTAAACTTGGTGGCCTTTCCTTAGTTTTCATTGATCTTGACCTTTCTATAGCATTTTGGGGTTATCTCATCTGCTCCCATGAGTTTAATTATCACCTCTAAACTGATGATTTCCAAATATCTATATCTAGCCCTGATCTCTCCCTTAAATCCTGGTGCTGCATCTCCACTTGTCATCTGGACAGCTTCATCTGGGGCAAGAGTTCTTAACCTGGGGGCCCCTGAACTGGGAAGAGGGGAAAATACATCCTTCTTTTCAGTGACTTTTGGGTTTCCTTTGTAAATCCTATGTATTTTTTATGCATTCAAAACAATACGATAAGCAGCAGTCTGTAGGCTTTGCCAGACTGCCCAGAGATCCATAGCACAAAACAAGTCAAGAAGCCCCATTTTCCAGACACCTTATACTCATTGTGCTCCAAAGTAAACTTGAGAGCTTTCTTTCCTTGAAGCCAGCCTTCCTCCCAACTTCGGGATTTCTGTTGACTGTCCTCCAGCCACCCAAGTTTGATCCAATTTGGATTCTTCTCTCTCCCTCACACTCACTCACTTCCTAATTTCCACCAAATATCTTTCCATAACAGTTCCTGCACTTGTCACCTTTTTTATATTCCTGTGGCTCCTGCCTAGTTCAGGACCTGATCATTGAATTGCTGTAGGAATCTTCTTACCAATCACCCTCCCTCCAATCTCTCTCTTCCTCATTCTATTCTTCACACAGCTGTCAAAATCAACAATCTAAACTGTAGCACAGGTATGGCCAGTGGAGTCCCATACTCAAAAAACTTCAGGGACTCCCCACTGCCTCTAAGTTAAAAAAAAAAAAAAGCAAACACCTTAGGTTGGTATTTGAGGCCTTCCAGAACTCAGCTTTAATCAGGATAACAGCTTTTGAGCTAGAAGAAAGCTGTCTTAGTCTGATCCTCTCACTTTCCTGAGAGGTGCTGACCTGCCCAAAGTCACATAGGTGGTAGTGATTCAAACCCATGATTCAACCCTACATACTCTAACTCTACACCCAGTGCTCTTCCTACCACACCATGGGACATCCCCCTACTCCCTTCACAGGCTCTAATTTCCAGCCAAATGTTCCTATTTGATGTTCCATGAGCTCAACATTCCATCTCCCATTTCAGGCACTCTAGCAGGCTGGAGGGCACTTTCTCTTCAACTCTATCTTTTAAAATCTTTCTCTCTTTCAAGTTGTTGCTTCTGCGTCACCTCTTTGGCTCAGCCTTCCTTGATTCTCCTCTTCTCCTCCGTGCCCCCCCCCATGATATTCATTTTATCTTAGTTACATTTCAGCAACTTTCAGGAGACATTCCAGTCTTATCAATAACCCATTACACACCATCTCTGAGGATAGGCTACTTCTGCTACCAGGTTAATCTTTCTCTATTTTATGCTGATTTTTATATTTTTTATATTTTTATATTTTTGGACATGACTTTTAGAAGAACCATTTATTGGCTCCTGCTCATGCACTGACTATAACGTTAACAAGTGAATTTCTGTAAGACCTCCCACAAAAATTAATCTCATTATCTCATATGATAAATTATAATACAATCCTGTGTCCTGCCACAGGTGAGGAGCATAGCTTTAGCCCTATGCTGCCTGCCAAATCTCTTCCTCCTCCTGTTCCATGATACCTGAAATTCTACATTTAGGGATTCATTCCTCTGTGATGAGTCTTCCTGTCATGTAAAAATGCAAACAATACTTCAAGTCTTCTTTGTCATTTGTGTGAAAAAGTCTTTTCCGAAGAAAGTTTTTAAAAAACACTTTGTTCCTTACCCTTTTGTTCTTACATTAAACTTCTCAGTTGCAGCCTCCACTCATTCACCTAGTGACCCTGTCCTTTGTAATAAAGAAACAATTAAACAAACCAAACCAACACAGTAGTTGTACTAGCATCATAGGTAACAGTCTATGCCCACCATCTCCCACTTCTTCAGCTGGCAAAGTGAAACTGGCACACTACTGAAAAGGGGTAAAAGGGGCCAAAAGGAAAATAGAGGGTTCACAATTTTGCCAAAGATTCTTCCCTTCCCATTGTTCTAAGTCTGTATGACCATTGGGAGGTCTTCAGAAGAACACTAAATTAAACCCTAGCACAGACTTGCAGAGTGCACAGTTACAGAGGGCAACCCAGCTCTACCCTTGAACCCATGAAGGGGAGGATGGGGATGTCTGGGAACCTGTGGGAATGCTGTCTTTAAAGTCCCAAGGTGAAGAAAAGGGAAGAGGGAGAGAGTGACTAATGAAACAAAAGCATTATTTCATCTACTGGAAAGAGCAAAATCAGACTTGTGTGTGAATTGGATTTAAGTGAGGCAGAGTTGAACCAAGTTCCAGAGTCATCCAAGTGCAGTGGCCATAGTAGGTGACTAATAAACCGCTTGTTGATTAATTGATCAGTACCTACCTTGTCTTAATTCACCGGAGGAGGAATTGACAAACCACTGCAGTGTCTTGCTGGTCAATGGGTCACAAGGAGCTGGACACAACTGAACAATTGGACAACCACATCACATACTTCATAGGCTTGTGCTGAAACTCATAAGAAATTATATACTTAAATTGATTTTTGAACTTTCAGGTGTTAGATAAATAGCATTATAGATCTAGATTGGGTGTTCAATACCCAATAAATATGGGTTACACTGGGGAAGGCACTCAGTCTATCAACAAAGACTCCTTTAAGAAAGATGACTCCCTCCAAACAATTGGAACTTCAACTATAGTCCCACGGTGTAAAAGTAGCTAAAAGACCTTCACAGAGCTAATCAATACATGGTGCCACACAAAAAATACCTTCTTTGAATGTTTGCACTTTGCATGTTGCAATCTTTTCGAGTTTGGACTTTGACAACAGAAGCACTGTTGAAGATATTACATGAAAAAATGGAAAGGTTTACTTTCACTCTGCCTCTCTTTCTATCCAGTCAAAACCTAAACATGAGACTCTAGATCTTCTTAAAGGAGCATAGTTTTGAACTTTAAAAAAAAAGATTTATCTTAACATTTTTTCTTCTTCTTTTATTAACACATATGAAAAAGAAAGCTTAAGCCTCTGTTTGTATGAAAGAGATTCTCAGGGAAATGATGCACTCCTGGATAAGAATTTCTTCCCCTGGATAATCTTGGAATTGTACCATCTCCATGAGTTCATAAAAGTTAAGGAGACTGAATACTCGAGAAAGGAAACAAAGTCAGAGCATTTACAAGAACTTGCTAGTGGTCTAGCAAAGTAGTTGTAAAATTAGGGGGGGCATGTGATAAAAACGACCCTTGATGAAGGAAAACTTGTCAAATATCTTTGAATATCTCAGACAGATGTTGTTTTTAAGCAGAAACAGTTGAAGCCATTGTAGGGAAGGGACTAGAATTTAAGGGGAAAAAAATAACAATGACAACATTCATTCAGATCCAATTTTCCTTTTTGGCGCTGGATAAGGCTGGTAGTGAGTAAAATAAGTGTATTCTCATAGGACAGCTGTGGCCTGTCAGTGAATTGGTGCGCAGTATGGAAGGCAGGGGACAAATCTGTCTTGTTATTGGACAAGCCTTTCTTGTTAGTCATACTAGCAGAAAGGGACTTATAATTAACTGAGTCAAAGTGACTAAACTATCTTCTCATTTTCAGGGAGTGTCCTTCTAGGTCAGAGGAA